CAACACAACAGTCTAGGAGGGGAAAAGAAGAGAGATGATTGCCCTTCTTGGTTGCTGTGTTGGGTGTTACAATGAAGTGAAAAATGTACCTGAGTTTGAAAACTGCCTTTGCCCATCATTAGCTGAGTGTCCTTAGGCAGAATCTCCCTGAGAATCATTTTCTTCCATTGTTAATCAGGTAATATAACAACTTGGGAAGGATGTTCCTTGTAATCTTGTAAATGAGGTCACATTTGTAGTTTCTAACAAAGGGAGCTTAATATATGTTCCTTTCCCTTGCCACTTAATTGAGAAAGCAACTTGTTTTCTCATTGTGCTGTATAAAATTTCTCTGGGGTCTATTCCTAGAAGTGGAATCACTAAGGTACTTTGGGTTTACTACCAGTTTATTCACAGCTAATTTGTAACAGACTACACACCTACAAACAGTGTATAAGAGTTCCTATTCCCCACATTCTAAGTTCTTTACTTAGCTTACTTAATCTGCATAATATTTCTAATAGAAAACCTACTATTCTGGAAATTTATGAATGAAAACATTAGGATATAGAGAACTAAATGTTCTTCCAAATTTCACATAGCCAATAATGATGGAGACAGGGTCAAACCCAGGTGACCATGCTTTTCACATGATTACATTAGGTATAAAACTTTGACTCTGGGGAGATGTGGTAGCAAGAAACATAGATTTTGCCATTGTCAAAGTAATTTCATGCCACATAGCTAGGCAAAAGTTCTGGACAAAGAAGATATACATCCAATTCAAATCAAGTCAACAATTGCTCTGTGACCACACAAGTTGGCCAGCTATTTTCTAGAGGCATAAGAATTTATATCTTTGTCTTAAAAGAGCAAAATATATATTTCTCAGAAGCAGGAAAGAATATAAACAAATATTTAGTCATTTCTCTTCACTCAAAAGTACTATTACTATTTTCTTCCTTGTTCTTCAGGTGAAATGCATTTCTGAAAGTTATTAAACCAAGGAGAGATTCTATTTTATGAGGTTCCAAGCAGTAGAATGGGATGAGAAAAAGCAATGAGAGAGTTTGCTTACCACTCTTTCTTTCTCCTGAGCAGTCAATAAGTGATATAATATCAGTACAGAATTTAAAACTAAATAAAATTTAAAAATAAATGTTCTTTATTATCACTATGCACTGACAATTCTAAATAATTTTAATGCCAGCACTGTTTGGAATAGAGTATAAATAAAGAAGAGGAAGAAGCAAAAGGAGGATAATATGCTGGTAGATCCGGGGCATAGACAAAGGACTCCAAGAAGTACAGTGTCAGTTAGCTCCTTTTAATGTTTCCTACTCCTCTTCAGGAACACTTTATCCAAATATTTTAGCCTAATGTTAACTGTACTAAGAGAAATCACAGGAGGGATCCATGTCCTCACCTGACCCGGCCTGTGGGAAAGTCCACAGAGACCCTAGAGCGGGAGTGGGGATGAAGAAGGGACAAGAGACACAAAGGATGGAGACAAGACGAAGTCCGATCAAGTCTTGTTTAGTCACAGAAGGAGTAACAAATATATAGGGTATTGAGGAGGAGGGATTTGGGTTCTGAGACATCAGCAGGTAACTTAGCAACAGTGGCAAGACCAAGGGTTATAGGTCAATTCAAATTTCCTGGGCACAGGCTCACAGGGTGGGCTGATTAACATAATTCCTGAATAGGCCAAATAAGCTAGGTAGGCAAGGTGCTGCTTAACTACCAAACTTAACTCCTATAGGGAGTTAAGGTGGTACAGCCTACAGATGTTAAGGTGGTGTGGCCTGCAGATATAAGGTGGCAGCCAATTAGAGGGCTTCCCACACGTCCCCTTTACTTTAAAATATAAGAGGCATATAAGAGGTTGCATCCTTGAGGAGACTGTGCCTGTCTTGGGTCAAGGTGCTTCCACAGGGGGCCAACCTAGCCTTTTCTGTCATTGGAAGGCAGGGCCCAGTTCCTGTCTTAGGTGGAGGTTGGCATCCCATATGAGGCCCAGTTGCCCATCTCTGGCTATCCAGTCTATCGCACCAAAGCAAGAGAAATGTAGCAGGCAGCATGATTTCACAAAGCCTTATCATAATACAGTTTTGCAGGCTCCAGGTAATTTTCTCTATCAGCCATTCTAAGCCTGTGGTAATGGACCTGTAGGTTGCATTTTTATGGCATCCACCTGTTGTTTGACAAAAGCCATCAATTTATTCTCATAATCCCAAGAGACAGGATCCAGGCTGTTGGTTCCATCTTTTAAAGATCAAAAGCTGCAAAAAAAGTCTCTCATTTATTGCCCCTGGAGTCATCTGTAACATTATCCTCTATTTGTTGTATTTGATCTATTTGTTTAACCAATTGTTCTGGCAGCCATCTCCCAGATTTCATCTCTTTAGAATAAATGCATACTGATCCTCGTCCCCAGATAAGGACTGGGTCTAGACCATGCCATGAGTTAGTCAGGGGGTCTCTCCATAGTACAGAAGCAAATTGCTTTTTTGTTTCAGTATGCCAAAAACGAGTGGCTGCTTATTGTCCAGCAGCATCCAAATTTTAAAAAATTAAGGATGAATAAGGCATGAGATAGAATATTTTTAGGTGTCCCCCTTGTGGGGTACCATTTCCCCTTTTTTATTTTATCAACAGTGAGTTGAAGGGAGAGATGTGCCCTTTCAACTGTGCCTTGACCTTGAGGGTTATAAGGTATGCCTTTTATATGATGAATATTGAGATGTTGACAGAAACAGGCAAAGGCAGAACTAGCATAGTCTGGACCATTATCAGTCTTTGATTGTTGTGGGCATCCCAAAACGGATAAGGTAGTTAACAAACAGCTAATAACATGTTTGGTAGCTTCACTAGTCTGGGGAAAGGCATAAATGAAACTACGAAAGGTATCTATAGTCACATGAACATATTTAAGATTTCCAAACTTAGGAATGTGGGTGACATCCATTTACCATAATGCACTGGGGATAAGTCCTCTAGGATTAACCCGAAGTGTGGAACTGAAAGGTGTGTGGTACAAAGGGGGCAATTTTTTACTGTCTGGCTTGTTCTCTAGTGATCTTGTGCATAAGATGGAAGGTTTGGTCATTGAGATAGTAGAATTGATGACTCTTTTGTGCTGATGTAACATTGTCGTCATGATCACTGGAGCTAACATTAGCTAAAGTACAAAGGAGAGCTTGCAGTCGAGTGGCCAGGTCTGCTGCATGATTACCATTGGCCAGAAGTCCTGGTAACCCAGAGTGAGCACATAGATATACGATTAAAAAAAAAAAGGGCATGTTCTTTTTATAATAAGCACCAGTATTTGCCTAAACAGTTCTCCAATGCTGGAGGCACTTTTGATTTGGCCAGCTGTTTCTAGCAGGGGCACAGAGTGTGCAATATAAGTGCTTTCAGTATGTAAATTCACAGGCTGATTGGGAAATGCTGAAAGGGCTGCAGCAATGGCATGCAACTCTGTGATCTGGGCTGATGTACTGTTTGTTTGGAAGGATACAGTTTTACCAAGTGAATATCCACTATTTTGAGCAGTGACAATGGTATACCCATAATTAAACCCATTTGTGCCAGTAGATCTCTACCCCAAAGATTTATTGGTAATCCAGCTATGACATATGGCTGTATTGTGCCTTGATTGCCCTCTCTGTCCTCCCAGGTCAGAAATTTTGAACTTCTTTCTGGGTTTTGGCTTTGACCCATGCCTTTTAAATGAGTCAAAGTAATTGACATTGTAATCTCTATCTCTGGAGTCTTTTTTGCAGTTCTTTGCAAAATGACCAGTCTCTCCACAGGAAAAACACTTTTGTTTATTTTTTTGAGATAAGAACTGTTTAACTGTAAACTCTTGCAAGGTGGCAGCCATAGCAAGGCCTTGCTGATAAGCAGTTCTCATGACAATGGTACCAGGGATTGAACTCACAGCCTTTTATTTGTCAGGCAGGCACTTGTGCTACTGAGTTAAATCTCCAGCCCTGGGAATCAAACTCACAACCTTGTGCTTAGCTGGCAGGCACTTATGTCTCTAAACTAAATCCCCAGCCCCTGCTTAATGCTTGTGAAAGAGGTACTCGTGTAGTCCTTAAATTGCTTTTGGGCCTCTCTGTGGGCATAGGCATCCTCCCCTATTAGCATATCAAGGCCCCACCCATTGCCGGCTTGCATATTGTATCTGGCGGGCTCTTTGCAATTTTCTATATATTCTGATTTCCACAAAAGATAATCCCCACCCAATAAAGTTGCTTGGGTCAATCCTTGCCAATCTGTAGGTGTGAGCCAGCCACCAGCCAAAGAATTTAAAACAGCAAGAGTATTCATGGCTGTGTCTCCCTACTATGTAACCACTGTTTTAAATTCTCTATTCAGTTTGAAATCGAAACCAGAGTAGTCTTGAATAACTCCACCCTCTGTGTCCCTCATTTCCATCACAGAGAAAGCCTCCATATCATCTAGCTTTAATATTGGATCAGGCCAGCGGGTAAATTTAGAAATCATGCCTCTCAGTGGGGGGGTCACTGAGCGGGAGAAATCCCAGATGAAACTCTGCAGTTAGTTTCATTTTTCATTTTAAATTTATCTGTTTTTAGTTTTTCTAATTGAGCTATCAAATCCTGATGTTCTTTTTCTAGTTCAATCTGTTGTTTTAAAAATTCAATTTAGTCTCTTAATTCCTTCCTAGTATCGAAAGTTAAACACACTGAAGCCGGAACTATATGGCCATTACAGTATGGGAGAGGGGCACACAGCTACCAGGTCGCTTTGCTCCAAGTTAAAGTTTAGACCTAATGGACAATTGCTTAATTTTTTTTCCTTTACCTTTCGCATCTTTAAAGCTCTTGTTAATCTTTTAACAAAAATCTCATGTTGGCTCATTCCTTGTCCTAGTGGACACAATTGCTAAATTTTTTTCCTTTATCCTTTGCATCTTTAAAGCTTTTCTAAATTTTTATCAAAAGTCTCATGCTGGTTAATTTATTGTCCCATAATCGCTTTTTACTTACCGAGGTTCAGCGGCATGGCAGGCTCCCACATCAGTCCTCTATTTTCTTTTCCATTTTCTACTTTGGGCCCATGAACAGCATCCTTCATTAAGTCCCCTGTTCTCGGGTCCCACGTTGGGCACCACTTGACCCGGCCTGTGGGTAAGTCCCCAGAGACCCTAGAGGGGTAATGGGGATGAAGAGGGGACAAGAAACACAAAGGATGGAGACAATACAAAGTCTGATCAAGTCTCATTTATTCACAGGAGTAATAAATATATAGGGTATTGCAGAGGAGGGATTTGGCTTCTGAGACATCAGCAGGTAACTTAGCAACAGTGGCAAGACCAAGGGTTATAGGTCAATTCAAATTTCCCGGGCACAGGCTCATAAGGTGGGCTGATTAACATAATTCCTGAATAGGCCAAATAAGCTAGGTAGGCAAGGTGCTGCTTAACTACCAAACTTAACTCCTATAGGGAGTTAAGGTGGTGCAGCCTGCAGGTGTTAAGGTGGTGTGGCCTGCAGATATAAGGTGGCAGTCAATTATAGTGTTTCCTACACTCACCAAGGATGAAAGTGGTATGTAAGCACCTTCCGGATAATGGAGCAGAAATAATGAGGTGACAAAAGATCACTAGGAGGGAAATCCAAGGAAAATTGCAGTGAAAGGCATATAGGAATAAGAGTAATGAATACAAAAAATTATTAAAACTGAAAATCACAACTGAATCTAGGGGGACCAGAATAGAAAACACAAATTATAAAGACATGAGTAGAACCTGGAGCATCAATAGCTCTGTAATTTAGACACAAGCCAATTGCTCCCCTACACACAAAAGGAGTTGGATCTATCCACAATTTTTCTAAGAAAATTCTAAAATTGGAGTTTAAATGGAAAAATTATTGATTTATTAAATGTTGCAAAATAATGCAACAATTCACATCCTTCCTTATTGCCACAGAGAATACTCATGCCTTGGAAATTTCAGGAAATGCCCAAAATGTGCATGGAAATGATCTGAAATGTACATAACAGATGCAAAGATTGTTATGTAACTGAGAAAGAAAAGATTGACCTATTAAAAATACTCATATATAACTGTGAAATAGGCAGACTATAATGAATACTATACGATGAATACATGGGAGTTATTAGGAGAGTCCATGGATAAAGGTTACTTAAATAGTCCTTAATTATGGAAAAGCTCTCTTTTTGTTTTTTGGTACTGGGGATCAAACTCACAACCTCACATTTGCCAGGCAGGTGCTTATGCCACTGAGCTAAATCTCCAGCCCTTGTGGATAAGCTCTTGACAAGAAGAGATGATGGAGGAAGCAGGAAACAAAGAAAAATGAAATAGGAGCAAAAGGTTACTTTAGAAAATACAGTTCAAGATTCTTTTAATCCACTATGATTGAAAAGCTGTAATTGTACAAATTTTCTGGATAAGAAACCATGAGAAAGGAAAGTGAAGTAAAACGAGGAAGGTGGGTCTGATCACACCATAGAAGGCCTTGGTAGACAAGTTGAGTGATTCGTACAAGGCTCAAAATGCATGTAGAACCCTTAAGGAATTGTAAAGGTCAGTAACTGTAAATTTTCCCATTTATTAGCCATCTAAAATTTCCAAAAGTATTATCAACAATGGCAAATTTATAAAATATTTTTCTGAAGTATGCCATGGTACTGGCACTGTCAAAGTTTAAGCAATAATAGAAGGTTGTGATTAACGAAAATAACCTTACCTGCTCCAAAGAATGATGATCATGTGGTTCTAGCTATACACAAGGAAATGTGAAAATTCTCTTACTGAGCAAAAGAGAAAAATCTAAACACACATCTAAAGGGAAGAAGTACAGCCCTACGGCTAGAGGGCATATTTGTCACAAACACTAAGCATTTATGGACCCCAAATGCCTTGCATTGGTTTTCAGAGTCCCAAACGTTCAGTGGTTTTTTTCCTGCAGAGCAACATATGTAAGCTGCTTAAATCAGCTTCTGACATCACTTCAACTTCAAACTAGAGGCTCTGGGAGGCTTAGCAGATGGCAAAAACCATCCAATTCTCTACGTGTGTTCAGCATAAGGTGCTCATATGCTGTCTTGGACCCAACTGAGCTGAAATCTTGCCTGGGAGAGAAATACATGGTGTTCGGTTTTATGGTGATGACTCAGAGCTCCAGCTACTTGAATGATGTCCTGCTTCTTTCTTTTACAAAGGCTAAGCAAACAGTCACAGTGTTTTACCTGCTTTCTAACCAGGCTTAGGAAAAAATGAAAGTCAATTAATTGCCATTTGGCTGTGAATCAATTTAATTCTGGATAATTCAGGACCCTCAGATCACTTTAGAATTTATAATATTCTTTTTTTAAGATTCACTTCTCCATTTCTGGATACCTCTTTGTAAAGTTCAGACACAGAAGCTAAGACATTGTTTCAATAAGAGTGAAAAGAGATCAGTACCTAAATATACAGATCAGAAGCATGAAATAATCTAGAATGCCAGTTTACAATTTATAATTAGAGATTATAATTATTACAAAACAATTATAATTCCCCAAACTGACCTTCAAAGCTTCCCAGTCAGGCTCTGTCTTTTCTCCCAGACCCATTTCTGTATACATACTACAATCATTCAACCTAGATCACTCTCTGTTTTCTTACACAGCATCCTGTGTTCTTCACACTACTCCTTCCTCATAGGCTGGCCTTTTCCAGGCAAGACTTTCCTTATTTCCAATCCATCTGTAAATCTAGCAGGTTTAGAGTGGACAGTCCATGGTGGAGGTGGAAATGATGGAGTGACAGGGAAATGGAGTTAAAAAACAAAAAAGGCCATGATCTTTTTCTACAGAATTTAAACTTCACCTCCTAGGACACTGTTTCATAAAGTGCCTATAGATCATCTGCCTCTGTTTACCTGGGAATCTTTTAAAGAATCATATTGCATATCCGTGAATGAGGACCAAAAGTAGCCATTCAACAGAACAATTAAATTTGGGCAGTGAGTTAAAGCTTACACACACACACACACACACACACACACACACACACACACACACGAAAGTTGGAATGCTACAGATGTTTAAGAATTACAAACTTGGAAATGTGGCTAAATTTGTATTTAGGAGATCTTATTCTGACAATACTATCAGTCTAGGAAACACAGGGAACTGTATTAAAGACAGGGAGACCAATTGGGAAACGATTTCAGTGGTTACTACTCTCATTTCTCTTCTGAAATTTGACTTTTTCCTTGGCTTCCAACCCTAGACTACTTCTTGGTTGTCCTGCTACATCTTGGCTGGACTTCCATGTCCTTCATGCTCATCCTCTTCTGCCTTCCTTTGCATGGCTAATGTTCTGGTTTCTATAGGCAGCCCTTTTCTTGTCTAGACTGTCTCTTTAACATCTCCTCCATTCTCATGGCTTCAGGCACTAGATACAAACCCACAGATTTATACATCTGGTAGCAGACTTCTTTCTCCAACTACTTAATGAGATGTCTTTACCTGAGGTTTAATGGGCATGTCCAAAATTCACACACTTTTGTCTTTACCTACATCTCTTCCTTTAGTACGTATCTTATCTTTATTGCTGTAGTAAAATCCACTTGGTTAAGCCAGAGTCCAGAAAGCCCCACTTGAAATCCACTCCATCCTTCAAGCCACTCTTACATTATCAGATTCTTCTCCTATCTTCTACTAATAAATACCTTTTCAATCCATGCCTTCTTCTACATCTCCATCCTCATATCTTTGGTTCAGATCCCACTGTTTTACAAACACCCTAGAATTTGTCCCTTCCTTAGCCAAGGAAAGGGCCAAATATCACATGCTGACAAACACAGGAAAAACTTCCAAACAATAGATAGTAGTATCAGATGTCTCTGTTGAATAAAGCTTTGTACCTTCAGTGTTTATTTACTGAACTGTAGACAGCTTTCTGTAAGAGATTTCTAATTGCACTATGCTATAACTGGTAAAGTGGTCTCAGTTCTTTGCTATCAACACACAATGTGAGCATATCACTAGCACAATAAAGCCTGGAAAAGCAGCAGGAAGGGTAACTGCAACTGACTCACCCAGGCCTGTCTTTCTCCTTCCCTGGTATAATAAAACAGTGGCTGTTGGGGAGACAAAAAAAAAAAATGTGTACACTTGTATGCATACAGACACATATATAAATTAAAAAGCTATGGCCCCTTTTCTCTGCCCATTGAGACTGAAAAAATAATGAAATTTAGTTTTAGAGTCCCAAAACACAATTAAATATGTCCCCGAGTTGATGGGTTAACAGAAAGCTCCTGGGAACAGGTAAATTTTCTCTCAGTAGAATTTCCCTTACTTGAAATTCCAAGCACTGAACTTGGAACAGAAATATACAACTGAAGCCCCTATGGTAGAGAAATTCTGGAGAAGGACATCCTAATGCCATTTCTCCTACATGGAATTTTAACTATTCTGTACTGTTAACGCACATGACCATGACTATGAACAGGGGCACAAAGATGGCTGTTCTTTCTGTAGTTAGTGCTACCCTCGCTCTAGACAAGACATGCCATTTAGATCCCTGCAGAGGTATACGAAGTACAGATTGTTATCTCTTTCAGCTTCTGGAATATAGATTCAGAGAGGTTAAACTTTCTTTTAAAAGTCACAAAGCTGACTTAAAACTGTTAGATGTGAGACTTAAATGCAAGTTTAAGTAAATTAAAGGGCATCTCTTTCCATTAGCTGTAACTCTTTTTGCTGTTTTATATCCTATTAATTGTTTTCATCTGATAACTTTGTGATAAAAATGTTAACAAGTTTCAGCCATGCTTGTCCCATGTTTCAGTAACTCTTGGGAGGATGGGATTGCAAGAAGGTGGATGTATCATCATGAGCTATTTTCCTTGAAATTAATTTCCTGTATGATTTCCTGTATGATTCACATTAATTTCCTGTATTATGCTTTTAATAGTTTTGCATCCGACAATTATTGGTAATTAAAAACCTAGTGGGAATTAGTTTATTAGATCACTTTGTAAAGTGGCTGTGAGCTGAGCTCTGAAATGGAATTAGGTGGTAAATTGTTGTCATTGAGAGAGCAGTATCTTTTTAGTACAAGTATCAATAATGTGGAAATTATGAATGTTGGCAAAGGTTAGGTCCTAAAACTATTTTCTCTCTGTAAAATAACT